GCGCCTATTTGGCCCATGGGGCTGGCGCCTTTTCTTCTGATTCTTTTCTCCCTGCTTGTTGTGGCTTCTGCTTGCTACCATTCGCGGCTATTTGGCCCACTGGGCTGGTGCCTTTCCTTCTCATGCTTTTCTCCCTGCTTGTTGTAGCTTTTGCTTGCCGCCATTTGCGCCTATTTGGCCCACTGGGCTGGCGTCTTTCTTTCTCCTGCTCTTCTCCCTGCTTGTTGTGGCTATTAAATGCCACCATTCGCGCCTATTTGGCCCATGGGGCTGGTGCCTTTCCTTCTCATGTTCTTCTCCCTGCTTGTTGTGGCTTGTACTTGCCACCATTCGCACCTATTTGGCAATGGGCTAGCTCCTGTCCTTCTCTTGCTATCGCCTGTGCTTTGTCAAGCAGCTTCCGTACCACTTTTCGCGCTTACTGTTTTGCTCCCTGGTCTGGTGTGCATGTTCGTTTCTTTTTTTTTTTGCCGCTCTTGCGGTTTCTCTTTTTTTCATGTTCTTGGCTTGAGCGGCTGTTTTGGTGGTATTGCTCGCCTTTCCGCTCGCCTTGGCTACCTTGCCCTGGCATGCTATTGTACCTATTTGTGCTTCACTTGCTGCCCCTCTTTTTCCCTTAATGCTCCCACTCGCCCTCCTCTTACTCACCCATGCAGTTCCTTTCTGCCAGACCTCTCCGCTCCCCCGCTCGTCGCGCGGCCTGCCTGCTCTACTCCCTTCGGTGCCTTGGCTGTAAAATCCCCTCTCGAACCCTTCCGGGGCTGCCCCGAGATGTGGGCGGGGAAGAGTGTGGGCGGCTGCAGCTAGGGCTGTAAGCCTTCATCCATCCATCCATCCATCCACACTTCCAAACTGCCTGATGCCGGAGGGTGGTGAGTTAGTTACAGTCCCGGTCCTTAGTTGCATCGGATTCTGTTAAATCTCGGCAATCACTTGGGGAGAAGCTTACAGGGAGGGTCGCATCCATTGCTCACTTGCTGTAGCCTGCGGAATGCAAGGCATATGTCTGGAACATGCTGCCAAAGTGGCCTTGCCATTTTGGCTCAAGATCTCGGACCTGTAGGTCCATTGCATTTTGAAAGCTTTCAGCGATCCAATTTCTTGCACTCTTTGGAGTCATGGCTTCCTCCTCCACCGCGCCTGCTGCCGTTGCCGTTCCGACTGCGGATGCTGAGATGTCGGGCAGCGACTCCGAGTGGATCGAGATTTAGGACGCGCCAGTCTCGGTGCATGATGAGGCAGTTGAGGCGGAGCAGTCCACCACCGCGTTCTTCACGGTGGCTGAGTTGGTGGAGGTAGAGGAGAAGCCGCTTGCAGTGAAGCTCCAGGAGATGACGGATGCCCTGGCCGCCTTGACCGGGGGCGGCAAGGTGAAGAAGACGCTGAGCTTCAACCCGGAGCTCGAGGTCCAGACGTTCGAGGGCAAGCTGTTGTGCAGGGCAACCTGACTGCAGGTGCCTTTCGCCCTGAGGGTGGGGAGCCCGATAGCTTGCAAGATGAACACCTTGCATGGACCGTGATCCAAGTTCCTTTGGCTGTGAGCTGGACCCCGCTGCCTTACTCATGGCGTGGGCCTCTTTCTGTGGGGGTCTCTGTTCGGAGGCTATTTCAGGCCCAAACTCTTTACAACTATTTCCACAATTGTTTGTGATAGGTGCTTGCATCCCACCCCTTGCGCCGCAGGACCAAAAGCATTACATCGTTACATGCCCCCACCCCCCCCCCTCCCCCTGACACACCTTTCGCGGACATCGAAAAATTGACGCCGTCAGCAAGTAGTCGCATCCCCAGGCACATCACTGCCCCCCACCCCCCACCACACCCCCGCCACACCCCCACAAACACACGCACCCCCACGATTTGGACCTAAATCCCGCTCTTGCCGCAGCGCTATCCTGGATAGCGCCATGGATGGCTTGCCGGGTTTTAAAGATCAGGGGCCAGGGACGGGCTTGTCGAGGTTCAAGTTGTGAGGTTCAAAAGTTAGCCGTCAGGGGCTGTAAAGGCCTCACTCAGGGTTGATGGTCTCAGGCTGTATAGAGCAATGGCTAGCAAAAGAAAACTCCACCGGAGACCTTAGGAGGAAAACCTGGGGTTGGTGGTGGGCTAGTTAGTAAGGCT